GAACCAGATGGGCTAAACACAGTGCTCGCTAGTTGGCTGACAGTAATAGAATATGACTTCTAAATATCTTTGTGACAGTGGGCAAGATAAGACTCCTTTTAATGTGATTGATATTCTTAAATGGGTTGCTGTAACAGTATCAAGAATGCAAACAGAAATAGCCTAACAAGGGGCCAGCCAGTTTATGCATTAAAAAACAAAGTAGTATGACTGACCACAGTAAACCACACTAGTGAAAAATAATCATTGCTAATAAATTTGCATCAACACACAAAACTGAATAAGCTTCTTTTTGCTGTAGTATGGCATCATTCATCACAACTTTCATCTAGTTAGAAAACTTTAATTTGACATACTGATTTGAAAATTAGCCATTGTGCCAATTGAGTTAAAAAGTCAGCACATGTGGTGGGTGTTCAGGCCAAAGCATCTTATGATCCAAATGCAATTCTAATACCAATAGGATCCCCCCCCCCCCCCCCCCCCAAAAAAAAAAAAACAACAAAACAACAACAAAAAAAAAAAAAAAAAAAAAAAAACAAAACAAAACACTGTACCAACTGAAACTAGCCCTGCACACCAAAGGTGCGTTTAAAACCAGTGGAACAATTCCCAACACTGGGCTAATTGCTGCCTGGACAAAAGCTGGGAAATATTTTGAAGCTGATTTGATAAAGATAAAAGTAGGTTTATTCAAAAACTGATTTTGAGACTCGTTTTCCAAAGGGCCACAATGTAAAAATACAGGCAAACCATCTCTGCAACACCATCATATTAGGTGTGTATTAATGTTATAGCAGCTAGTACTAGAATTTACCAGTAACATTAAGTCAAACAGGCAATTCAGTAAAAGACTACTGCTTTTTATTCCAAGTATATCTGGTACTGCACCCAGAGCTCATACACCACTAGATGATTATTTTGACATTTGTGGTTAAGAATGTTTCCTTAGATGAGACGCTGTTTAAAAACGCCAACGTGAGGCCACCATCTCCGAGTGATACTGAAAATGATGTAAAGTTAAGGATGCTACATACAAGCAAAGCCTTAACACAGGGCTGCTCTCTCATGAGTGGGACCCTTTGTCCTTAGAGCAAAGCTGTTTAGTATTAGTATCAGCAGCCAGATAGCACTGGTGATGGAAGCAATGGAGCCCCAACTAATATAGTCCACCTCAGAAAGGCTCTCTTTATATGTATGAAGTATGCTGTGTTGCATCAGGCAAATCAATGTGTTTAACAGTTTAGACCTTCTCTCTCTCTTTCTTTTTTTACCGTAATGTTACCAATTAAGATGGGAATTTGGTATTAATGTTTAAATAACTTATGTAATCAAACTGATCTTTACTCTCAGCCTTGAGTCAAACAGAGGGAGGTAGTCAGAAAGAGACAGACCAACTTGCGCATCTTCATTTCACTAAAATGACTGTAGCTAATGCAAAACAGTAGATAGTTTACAGACTGACATAAGGCTGGTTGGTCAGTTATGACTGCAAAGGCTGATCTTCAAGGACTTAGGACTATCCTACACTTAAAAAACAATGACAATATGCACAACATCCTGCTCTTACAGGTTTAACATTGTGCCACTTGCATAAAACAAAAACAGAAATTTTTTTTAAGACTAATTACTAGCTCAATCACGAGTACAGGCTTAACTGACAGTTATCAACGGCAGCCACATAGTTACATCGTTAATGTCCAGCAGGCTCTTGAGTGGAAAAATTAAATCTAATACTGGATTCTTGGACTAAAAGAGATTGTAGACAACAAAAAAAGATTTGAGGACACAAGCTGAGACCACTACCATTAGACTTCTGTTAGACTGACCCGGAGCAAGGCTTTAAGGCTGGAGCTGATGAACCGGATTTGCACAGTCCAGTGTGACAGCTGCTCCACATCAAGCTTGTGAAAGCACAAAAATGTGTCTAGTGTGACCCTGCTGAGTGCTACACAAATATCCTGAATTGACACTCGGCCAAACATGGACTGGGGTGTGGCCTCCACACCTAGAAGCCAAAGATGACGGCCTCTACAATTCAATGAGTTAATCAGTGGCAGGACAAGGCCTCTTCCTTATCAGGTGAGGCCTTGGAAAACGTTCAGCTGACTATTGGAATTCTGTTGCCTAAAAACACCCACATGGTACACACAGAAGAGGATGGGGTGAAAAGCCAAAAGTATTACAGCTAGAGACCAGTATGACGACCTAATCACCTTTTTGTGACAGAGGTTAGTTCAGGCTGCAGACACTCTAAATCCAAGGGACCAGCATAAAGATGGATGAGTAGACAAAGCCTTTAAAATGCTCAGTTGGTAACATCCTGCCACTGGATAACATCCAGGACTGCGGCATTCAAATTCCAACTTTCAAGGGCCAGGCCAAGGCAGCAACATGGACTGTGTGAAGGTGGTAAATCTCTCATCAGGTCCTGGACAATTGAGAGGCTCATCCATCACTCTGAAAAATCTCAGTAAGCGGTACAGTGCACGATGAAGTTATTTTCACACTACAGCAGAGATGGTGAGGACAAAAGCGATGAGACAACCCAACCCTGAAAAATCCCCCCATCATAAGAAGCCAGAACCCTGCTACAGAGATGACTGTGGTGAGGTCAAGTAAACAAGAAGGCAGTTCTCAGTTGAAAGAAAAAAAAAAAAAAAAAAAGTTCAAACACTACATGAAGCACCGGATCACCCACCTCTCACACTGTGACACAGTAAGAGAGGGAGGTCTTGTTGAGCTCCAGCAGTGCAATCAGTGCAGATTCTCTGAGGCTCTTTTCTCAGTTCTGTTGTGGCTCTGTCAAATTTCTGTAGTAAGTATGTCAGCTCACCATGACACTTAAGCTAAATTCTGCTAGTATATTTGGCTAAATTTGTTTGACAAAAGAGCTTGCAGCAACTGCAGCCCAAGTTACACAAGCATCAGATATTTTCCAAATGAAAACTAGGCAAATTAATGGGAACGATCTTGATGAGGACAGCATTCCAAAACAACCATGTAACATTTAAAAAGCGCTTTCAAAAGAGTTTACTCAGCACAGTCCACACTGAAATAAAGAAATGTGCTCAGTGACATGCTCCTCCACAGGTCACATAACTTAAGATTATATACAATCATTACTTAAATTCCCAGAGGTAATGCCAATTAATCTCATTTCAGTAGTCAATCTCATTTTGAGATTCTGGGCTCACTAAAGCTCAACAAAGCAAGTAAGACATCAAAGTGGAGCTTGCCTCCGTGTGTGCGCGAGGGTAACTCAGTGAATGACAGGAGTATGTTCCCCTTTATCGCAAGTTTCCTGAGGGGGAAACATTTAAAGCTTAGACTAATGCACAACTACTGAGGTGAGTCACAAAAGAGGAAAAAAACTGGATAAAAGAGGATGAAAGAAACTGGGGGGTGGGGGGGGAATCTACAAAAATCATGCCAATTCTTACATTCAATTCCACAAAAATTAACAATTGGTCCTATGGGCAAAGCAGCCAAGAAATGATTCAGATGAAATATGGACACTGCTCGGGGCAACATTCATCCTGACTTTCTTTCCCCGTTTTACAGTCCTTTTCTGTTGAGACAAACTGTATTACGTTTATTTCTGTAGCCTTTATCGCAGTGCACTTACAGTATAGTACCCCATGGTCATCAACTAGTGTGGAACAATGAATGAGAACATGAATAGTTTTCTTTAAATTTCAAACCTGCATACCCAGTGGGCACGAAAGTCAGACATTTTATATTCTTCAAAGACATAAATAACATATTTTATGCATTATGAGGAATGGAAAAGTAAAATCTAAGGTTCGAAAATTACAACAGAAAAAGGAAGAAGAGAAAACAAAAACCCCAAAATAAAATGTTGCCATATGTGTTCGATTTTTCTAAGTGGTTTTTACAGAAGTACGTGACTTTCCCAGTCACTAATGCATGTATTTAATATTTAATTGTGTAAACTGAAAGAAAAAACCCCATTTCCTATTAATTTCTTGGATGGAACTCATCCATCTGGTGAAAAGCTTGAGATTTCTTGACAAGACAGCTGGCAGTAGAAATTAGTGAAAAAGTTCAATAATTCCTCGTCTCATATGCAAATTTAATAGAATTTATATTTAGCTCAGTGTTTCCTAATCTGACTTTCTCTCTCCCTCTAGGCCTCTCCCCTCCTGCTGTGATAAGAAGTCTTTTCAAGACTCTGCTCAAATCTCTTTTTCAGGGAAAACGGCACCCATTCCCCTGACAGAACCGTCAACTTGTCTGCCAAAGCTGACTGCAAAGTAAAACTAAATGATAAAACAACAAAATAAAAAAAAATAAAAAAACTCAAACAAAAACAACCCCCACCCCCAATAATAAACTACAAAATTTGGCATGTTGCATGTTATTGCCCCTAATTTCATTCCACCTATATCACAAAGCAAAGCAGACCTTGCCCACAAAAGCAATTTACTGTGATGAGGAAGACTTGACCACAGGTTTATATTACTAGTCCATAAAAGAAACCTTTACAGCTTTTATCTCTTATTGTGACTTCTCAAAAGTGACATTGATGATGTCCATTTACAATAATTGTCTCTTTGTAGGCGTTTTCTCTACCATTAGAGGGCTCTAACCCTACAGTATAAAGTGCCTTAAAGCAACTGTTGCTGTGATTTGGTGCTATAGAAATGCATTTAATTGAATAATTCATGATTTTAAAAATAGCAGAAACATTTAACCATAAAGGTTATGCCATCAAATGTAAATACCAAGCATAATCACATGATAGTGGTGAACTTTGGATATTGAGCTACATCCCAAACTACCTGATGTGTTAGATTTTGTTTCCTTCTATAATAGCCCACTACTGCCGAGATTTCGCTTTATTGGTACTTTTACTCAACAGTGCCAGTAATGGATAAAAACAAAACCTTAGGGCAAGAATACACCTTACAGAGTTGCATAATTATGAGCAAAACAGACAAATCTTAACATTTAATGCTCAAATACTTGTCACTGACCTTGAGGACATCTCCACGTTTGAAACTAAGCTCATCATCAGCAGTAGCTTTGAAATCGTATTTGGCAATGGCCTCCATGGTCCTTATAGCTGCTGTAAAACTGCTTATCTGCAGCCGTTTCAGTGACTGAAGAGAAAAAAAAACAAACTAAAAAATGTATCCAGGCTTCTGTGATCAAATACTTTCTCTGCGTCTCTCCTCCAGTCAATGACCCGTTCCCTTAGGTTTGAGACCTCACATAAAGGTGGCAGAAAGGTACCTGCAAAAAAACAAACCAAAAAACCCCAACGTGAACAAATATAACTAAACAGGCAAATGTTAACCCACGAAGCAAAATTAAAATAGTCTATATTGCATTTTTAGTCTTTAAATTTTCACTAAAAATGCATACTGGACATACGATTCAACTTTATTCCCATTTGACTTCTGAACAGCCTCCAAAACACAGCACAATTTCATGACCAGTGGCAAAGCTCTAACCAGAAATTATCAGAGGATAAGGGAACAAAGTTCACTCTATCGAGTGTCAATTTCAACAGACCTTCCAGACAACCAACCACCTGGCCCGATCAAAGATAAGACGGTGGTTACTTAAGTAGAGATGACAGTGATACGCTGGCTAAACCTACGGCTATTTAGTTAAACAGATAAAGTTAAGCTATCTAATTAGTTTGCTGCTAATATGCTACCGTACAGCCCTGATGGGCTTTCGCTAATACAACCGTGCGTCTAATAAGGCCTTTAAACCTGACAGTCCACCAGATGACCACAGAGGAACACCAAACGGATGAGAAATCATTTTTCCTCTTTTGAAAATCTGCATTTCCTTTTTATTTTTGAGAACTTAACTATTAGGCAATAACAAACGACACATGACATATTTTTCTAGAGAAAACGAGTTGCCGTCACCGGCATCATCAAGTCCAAAACGTTACTACATTCGCTTTCGTTTGTGTCTTTTACAATAACAAAACGCCAAACAACTCATCGCTAGTCAGCGTTACCGAAAACAAAAGAACAAAAGGCATCGTCGCTGTCAGAGGTGGCATTAGGCTTAGTATTAAAAAGGGAAGCTTGAAGTCCAAAGGCAGACTGTAGCTAACCTTAAACATGACAACCTTCTCACACGCCCATATTATTGTGAAAATTATATGGAATTTTTTTTTCATTTCAAAAAGGGCATGGAGAGCAACAGAGTATGGTTTTATACCTCTTTTTTTTTTCCTTTTAGTCGCGCTCGAGTGAATCGATTCCGTTCCAGCCAACAGACTGCGCCCACTGTTCTAGAACGCTACAGCTAGCATACCGGCTAACGGTCGGACAACAATAACTGCGATGCAGTATGGTTATCAAACCCGAACCTCAATTCTTCCGCACCGGACCATCTGACATCGACATCACTTAAAGCTCGTGGCTGGTCTGAAATAAGTGTGGGGTGTTTCTTAGCACCCGAGGCCTAGTCGCTAGTTTAACGCTAGCATATGTGGAAAGGAAGAAAACATCTTTTTTTTTTTTTTAAACATAGCGCAAGCTGTTATTGCTACTGCTAGCCCAGCTAACGTTAATGAACTTCACTAAAACAGCGTCATGAAATAAAACAGTACACAACTTTTGAGTTGACAAAACACGTACTGAAAACTCACCACTATAGATATTCCGTTTCGATAGTGTCACTGTATAAAAAAAAAACAGCAAAACTCTGTCGTGTAATTATCCACTCCCTGCTTCCTCTAGAGGCAACCAGCAAGGTACGTGTGGTGTCGCTTACACCCGTCCTAGAAGCCTAAAAAACTAGCCACTAGCATAAGGTTTATGACGCTCATTTCCGCTTCCTTCCAAAGAACTGGGAGGATCTGCCTCCGTGTACGTAAGCTCCTCCCTGCTAGTCTTTTTCAGTGTTAAGGAAAATTAATTTTCGCAGAGACATACTAGTTGTTAAGATTCACTCACTCTAAATCGTTCAATTTCTTTTTTTTAATCAACAGCTAAATAGCACCTATTTGTACCACGTGACTAAGGCACTGAGATCAGTTTAGCCAAGATAACTTTTAAATAATCCGGCTTAACTAAACCTAACGTCAGCAATTACACCAGCTAATCACGTGAAAATGGCACTCTGAAAGGTTATCCAAGAGGCAGTGACACCACAGCATGGGCAGAACCAAACTGTTTTCATAATCCTCAAAAGAAGAACAAACTATAACACGGAGAGAAAAAGAGGAAATAAAATATGTAATCCAAGATGAAAATAAACTCAGCTGCAATTAAAGAAAGGAAAGCTGGCAAAAGATGACAACTGTGCAAGCCAGTATTATCACTAACATCACTACCTGTGAACAGATCGGACTTAATGGATTCAGCCGCTTCTACTGAAAGAAAAGCTATAGGAAATGTCAGTAAACTTGTCCACAAGGAATCCATGTGACTACCTGATAGCCAGGCTGCAGTTTGTGAGATTAGGCAGAGCTTTGTCTGATTTGGTGACGGTATAGTAGCTCTACAGGAGACTCTGCTGTCTCCATTTCCGATGGCTCTTTCCTGTTGAAGCTGAGATCCTTCAATGTATGCAGCAAAAATGATGACCACCTTCTCTAACAGTGATTCAGCTCCACTGCCACATGCTATCACAATATATCTGACAGAGAGGCACCTACCAGATAATATTATCATTATCATTAATATATTCTTATTCACCATCTCAGTTGTGTAACAAACGAATACTCCCAAAACGGGATAAAGATTTATCATCATCATCATGTCTTGTCATATGTTTATCCTTATTCTTTGAGCTAAAATTTTGTGGTGTCTAATGATCGTGAGATGCCAAAAAATCATAATTGTGGTGAATAGAAGGCATTTAAGGTCAACAAGCCTGCAATACTTTAGGACTCTCATGTAGAATTGATTGGTTATAAAAAGCTTGCAGGCAGCAAAAAAATAAAACAAGCGATAAAGTCCCTTATTATTGATCTTAATGGAAAGCTAGAAATTTGAGACCATCTCACTGTCAACTCATTGATCTGTGGGCTCTTCTGGGAATAACTACAGTGTTTTCAGAGAGACCTGATTGGTCAGTAGGCTTTGGATTTGTAAGTGTTGATCTGTTATCTTGAACATAACCTGCTCCAATGAGTGAATGACCTTTATGGCCCTGAAAACTTGTGATGTTGTCTCACGTTGTCTCGAGTCTCTCTTTCAGTCACAGGCAAGCTGCAGGATGGCTATGCATTAATTCATTCACAAACTTTCATTGAGATTTTCAGCTGTGTGTCCTGGCTTAACCTTATAGCTTGGTCATCTTCTAGTTACTTTAAACCGCCTACCTGATTGTCAACACCATATCTGACAAGACAAAAGGACTGCCAAATATGTAAAGGCAGAGAAGTGAACATGTTCACTGTAAACTAAACATTTATCAATGCCACACCCTAGTTCGTTCCCCCTTGCCACAAAACTGTCACCCATATTTATCATTATCCTACAAACTACAATTAACTACTATCACTGTTAACTATAGCCACATACATAACACATTTCTCACTTAGATGCATTTATGTCCATCTCATTCAGTCTGAAATGGGAAATTAAGAACACAGATTCATGCATTTTAGCTGCAGTGTAATAAATTAGTCTACTAGGTTAAAGTAGGACACATTAGAGAACGCAGGAATGCAAATTTCTCAATATTATGTTCAAGGATCCATATGGCTTCAGCCATAAAATACGATATGTATAAACGCCATCTCATAAAGCTTTACTTGGCTAATTGCTGGAATATTTGGTCTTCTGTTTTCCTGTTTTCATTTCTTGCACATCTGCTTTTAATCCTGGCCTTTGACAGCAGAGGTATTAAAACCTTGACAATGCTGCCACCTAGTGGGAATAAACAAAAATGGGTTCTTTCTGTCTTTAACCAATCAAGGGTTGCTACCAGAAGTACTTAGCCATATGTTAATACCGCACAGTTGAGATAAGAAATGTGCATATCTTTTCCAAATATTACACAGCAAACAATATGGAGAGTGACACTGTTCAGTTGGACAATTAATTAGACTGTTTATAACAGATAACCTATCGTGTGACCTCCATCGTAACGGCATTGTGAATGATAAAGCTATTTGGTCTGACGGCTAACGCTTTTTAAAAGAAAATAAGGTGGAATGAAGCGAGGATATCGTCCATTAGGTATTCACTCAAGAATGACTTCCAGTATTACTCACACTGGCGGCGGAAAGTATAGCTCACAGCTGTTCAGTGGGTGACGACACAAACTTAGAAATAAGAATGATGATTTTTTTAAGGGTCTCCGAGTTGCGGAGTACTTTATCTCGCAGTTGCCAAATACCAGACGCGAGCGCGCGCGTTTTATCTGTCGCGTGCCTGCTGAAGTGTCTTGGACGACAAAAACATGCGCGCGCGGCTGAACCTCTGCTATCAAAGCCATAAAGCAACAGTTTAAGCTGGATTTTTGTATGCATATGTATATTTAAAATATGCGTATTTTCTCAAGCTCATCTATCTTCTTTGCCTTAAACTGATATATAAGTTATTTTAGAGTATATTCGTATTATTCTTCGAGGTTGGATGGAGGACTACATTATGAATTCATCTTCTTCGTACCTCAGCTCACCTGACAATCTGGAAAAAGGTAAGCTTTTCTTCTTCTCGTTTTTCTGTTGAATTGGGCACATGCATAGAGATTTATCACCAGAGATGAAATATTATGTTGTTCATTTTCATGCAAAAAGTAGTTATTGACACTTTGAAAACAAATGAATGAAAAAAAGTTATAAGGAAAGAAAGCTGATGGAGTATATTCTGTTTTTGTCCTTTCTACCAGATCATGAGCAGTACAACAATGTGCTCATGCCCAGCATCTTTGGTGTTATTTGTTTCTTTGGGATCACTGGGAACTGCATTCTCATTTACACCATTGTGAAGAAGACCAAGTTCTGCTCTCATCCATCAGTGCCAGACATATTTATCTTCAGCTTGTCCATCGCAGACCTCCTCTTTCTCCTTGGCATGCCTTTTCTCATTCACCAGCTCGTGGGCAATGGCTCCTGGTGCTTCGGTGGCACCATGTGCACTGTCATCACAGCGCTTGATTCCAACAGCCAGATCGTCAGCACGTACATTCTGACTGTCATGACTCTGGACCGCTACTTGGCAACAGTCCACCCCATCCGCTTCAAACACGTTCGAACCCCCTTCGTGGCAGGGGCGGCAGTGGCGCTGGTGTGGGTGTTTTCTCTGGTCTCCATTACTCCGGTCTGGATGTACACTGGACTCATGGGTCTCAAGGACGGCTCGGTCGGCTGCGCCCTCCTGCTCCCAAACCCGGCCACAGATACATACTGGTTCACCCTGTACCAGTTCTTCTTGGGCTTTGCTCTTCCTTTAGTGGTCATCTGCAGTGTCTTCTTCAAGATTCTTCAAAATATGTCAGCCACAGTTGCTCCACTACCCCAGCGCAGCCTCAGGGTGCGTACAAGAAAGGTGACCCGCATGGCAGTGGCCATTTGCCTGGCCTTCTTCTTATGCTGGGCCCCTTATTATATCCTCCAGCTGGCCCACCTGGGAGTACAGCGGCCCAGCTTTGCTTTCCTGTATGTCTACAACATCGCCATCAGCCTGGGCTATGCCAACAGCTGCATCAACCCTTTCATCTACATTGTGTTGAGCGAAACATTCAAGAGGCAGTTCATTGTAGCTATTCGGCCACCCCACAGAGGCTTCAGAGTCGCCCCTGCTCAGGCTGAAGGCTTGAGTTTGAGGGTTGCGCCAGAGAGTTCTCATCCATCCCGCTCGCAGTCATCACGGGAACTGCTCCAAAACATGCTGCCCGTCACCGTGGCTGTGCACTGAGATTGACAGCTATCTGGCCACCCCGACCACTGCTAACTGCCACCCCCAGCAACGAGCCATCTGCCAGTACAGATGTCTCTCTTTTTTCTTTCCCTCCTCGGAAAGCACCCGCTGTTCACATCAACACGTGACAAGAGGAGGAATTTCTATGCCACACACACACACTGCGTTAATGTACCAAGTGGTGATATTACCGGTGAAGTTTGGAGACGTGTTTATGTTTGTTGTGAGGAATTAATGTATCAACTGTAGTCGTCATATTTTTAAAGAATGAGAATGAAAAAAGGAACAATAGGCAACTTGCAGCTGACATGTGCCATTTTAAAAAAAAATCTGACTTTGTTTAAACTATTCTTGATTTATCAGTATGGTATCTGTGTAAAGGTTTGATGTAAAGCCAACTTCATCACACAGCTGCGTTGTACTTAATGTGTCTTAAATTACTACATCGTGGTAGCAGAAAAGTGCAGATTTGTCACTGTTTTGTGTTGTGCACTGTAAGTTTATCAATGTTGTGGTGGAGAAGAAAAAGCATGTGAGCACATTTAACACATTCTAAAGGTCAAGCCAGCTGCACCATTAAAGAATAGCACACACGGCTGAGGGCAGATTATGCACTAATGAGACAGTATGCAAAAAACCCCTCTAGTAGCACTTGGAGGATGAGCTACTCCTCTCATGCAATCACCGAGGACAGACTGCACGCCTTCACTGGCAAAGACAAAGGATTTGCAGACTTAGTACTGATCTTCTCTTTGTGTGTGCTTGAATGTCATTATTCATGCATCTCCAAATGTTATTCTGCTGTACCTTGGTGACTGTGTGACTTTTTTTTTGGAGGCATTTGTTTCCACGCTGGCTTTGGAGACTCTCACTGTGAATTGGCTGTTGCCGTGTGCAGCCTGTCTTACTGTAACTGTAACTCTTACCTGCTACTGGAAAACTGTGT